AAGGTGGAGCCGTGGAGTAAAAGCTTTACCTTCCAGGCTCACAATGTCCAATAAGTTTGTCTCCTTTTTGTATGAACAATAATTTTTTTTTTTTTAGCAAAGTTTAAGAGGAGATTGGCTACTCTCACCACCAGCGCCAGAGCAAACCCATAACCTCGAGTCGGAAGAACTTACGCATAGCACCCAACTGCCAGCTGCCACCAGTATGGATTTATGTATGCAATTACAGATCACACACCAACGAGGACTGCTGACAACGAAAGTCGAATACTAATGGGGCTACACACAATGTAGGAACCTTACCAATTGAGCCAACTTCGTTGGCTTTTTTGTATAAGTATTTGATTACTTACTATTGTAAGACTTTCTTTTGCAACTTATTCTCCAAATTTATAGTTTACGAAAAAAGGTCAATGCAAAAAGGCTAACGTTCTTTTTAAAATTTTCATGGGGTAATCCAGGAATATAAGTGGGTTGAAATATAGGACAGTGGTCGATTTTAATTTTTTAAAATTAATATTAAGAAAAAAAATACTATCGACAGTCATATAACTTATTTGTTTAAATTTACTATAAAGTTATCAGCCCACGCAGAGTGGAGCCAATTCTGAGTTTTGAATGGCCCACGTCCAAAATGAAAATGAGGCCCCTTAATTTTCATTTGCATGTAGGCAAAGTTTGTAGTCTTGTTGTTTCGAATGTTCTAGTGCCCAAAACCATAACCGTGTGAATCTTCAAGTTCGGTAAGGGAGGTTTCAAAATGGAAGGCATCTTCATGGTGATTTCCTAGAAATGAAAACTGGTTTTGGGCACATGCATTCAGAGCTGTTTATAAATTTACTTGACGATTACAAACCTTTTGATTGCTCCTGATCAAATTTCCTGGCGAAAAGAAGAGCTGTAGTGACAAACTTATAATCAGTTGGATTGCAGACAGACCAATTTTGTGCATTACTCATATAGTAGCAATCATACATGTGTGTTGGATCAATTGACTATTGGCAATGGTAGTGTGCCCGCTCCCTTACATCCGAGTTTGAATTGCAATCTCGATATATTTGAGTATTTTAGGATATTGAAAAAAAGATGGTAAATTAACCATATATAGATAGACTCGGACGGTGTTTTCTTAAAGTCAACAGTCGCATCACTTTCCTAAAATGCTCCATAGTAATTCGCTGATTTTCGATCCATCACCTTTCCCAGGAAAAAGAAAATTTCTAAGGCGTATAGCCACACGGCTTTACTCTGCTGTTTTATTTTTATTTTTTCTTAACAGATAGTATAGCCGTGCGGCTATACTTGTTTTTGCCATTTTTTTATACAAATGAGGATAATATGGTAAATACCAGAAAATTAACATTCAAAATATCAGAAAATGCCCTTAGTTAATTCAAATATTAAGAATTGAAATTATTAATTAAATGAGGATAATATGCTAAATTTACATTTTTTTCATATTAAAAAAATTTAAAATTAAAAAAAAATCAAATAATAGGTCCTAATTTTAAGGAACATAACTACTCATGTTATCTTTTTTTAATTCTAAAAAAAAAAAGAAAAAAAAAAGAAAACCAATTGGGGCCATATCTTATTTGTTATGAGGATAAACTTTTAAACCCATGAACCCAATACTAAAAGTATAATTAAGCCAACGCAAAGTAGGGCCAATTCTGAGTTTTGAATGGCCCATGTCCAAAAATTAAAATGAGGCCACTCAATTCTCATTTGTATGTAAGCAAAGTTTGTAGTTTTGTTGTTTCAAATGTTCTAGTGCCCAAAACCATAACCGCATGAATCTTCAAGTTCGGTAAAGGAGGCTTCAAAATGACAACCCTCCTTGAGCATCTTCATGGGCGATTTCCACCCTAAAACTGCCTATTGGACAACTCTAAACCCACATAAGTGCACTGCCTTTCCTTTTTTTTTGTTTTATTTCTTGTTATCTACTGGTGTTGTGATGAATGAGTGTGAGAATGTGAGAGTGTGAGAGTAAAATTCTTGTTATCTATTGGTAAGAATGAAAATTAAGATTAATGGCTACCAGCAGCCATTATTGTTAATTAGTAATTATTCAATCACTAAGTATTTATTTTGGTACTAGCCTTGCATCCATTCAATTCAGTCATACTAAATGAAAAATCACTATGTTCACTTACCATATGCATGTTAACTACCCTATTCATTTTAATTGTATGATGACGATGGATGCATGGTTTTAACGATTAAAATGAATAGGGTAGAATGTGGTTAACATGCAAACAGTAAGCGAACATGGTCTATCTCTCTGTGTGTGTTTTGTTTTGGAGACGAAGATGACTTGAGGAGTAGGAAAAGGAATTATAACACGGATCAAATACACACGAGATAATTATAAAGCAAGCAATTTGCAGCAAAATAAACCTATGAAAAAGAATTTGAACTGTCAAATTTTCTTCTCCAAAAAAAGAAAAAAAAAGTAGTTTTTACATTTGTGCGTCAAAAGATAAGGCACAAAATGGGGAAATTTACAGAAACAAATACAAATAGTATCCTTCAAATGATCAATATCATCTAAATCATATGGAACCACACTACACACATGTCGTACCATTGCTTCAAAGTTTTAATACAAATGATACTAATGCAAAAGCAGTCAAAATTGTACTATGATTCCTTTGAATAGGGGGTGAGTTAGGAAGAGCCACGCAAGGCACAAACAAGACAAATAAATTCCACAGGCTAATGAGTATCGGAACAAGTTTTCATCTCCCACCAAATAAACTACTATAGTTTATAACTAATCGAAGCTTAATTATATAGATAGTGCATTATATAAAGTACTTAAACATTGAGAAGAAATAGCATAAAATTAGACGATTTATCAAATTAGAGTGATTTTTTTAGACAATTTAGATTATTAAAATACAATGCACGATGGGCTCTAAAAGGGTATCTCTCAATTAAACCTCTCTCTCTCCTAAAAGAATATCTCAATTTACATTTGAGAAGTCTGTAAGAAATGTATATTACTTCCCTTCCCTTATCCTTGTAAGAAATGCAATCACCACTATAATACACGTTTTTAGTAAGGGTGGGACCACTTTTCTACTGTAATTCAAACCGAAACTGAAAATATCAAATTGACTAAATTGCACAGATGCTCCTCGTGCGTCTTGTGGTTTGTCCATAGTATATATGTTCAATTTGAGTCCACTGTGCGCACTGCGTGGAAGGATAAAAAGGTCAGTTCAATCCCTTGTCCGTAGTTTGTGGTTCGTCCATAGCTTTCTCATGTTCGTTGATAAAAGGTCAGTTCATCCCTTGACCATGTTCACTTACCATTTGCATGTTAACATGTTAACCACATTCTACCCTATTTATTTTAATTGCATGAGGACAATGGATGCATATGGTTTCAATCATTAAATACCCCCTCCCCCTGCCCTTCAAGTATTGCATCTTTCTTTTCTGATTGTAGTTTCCAAAATTTTTACTTGCTAGTTGCTAACGTAAATCCATAGCCTCTTGTTGTTTCTTCAACCTTTCCTTCATGTCTTTCAGTATAATTTCATTAGCCCTCTTCTTTGACTCACAAACTTCCTTCTTGAGTGACTCGGACATGTCAGAAACTCACTCAAGAAGGAAGTTTGTGAGTCAAAGAAGAGGGCTAATGAAATTATATTGAAAGACATGGACGAAAGGTTGAAGAAACAAGAAGATGCCATGGAAGAGTCCATAGCTTCTCTGTCTAAATCAAAAGTTGCTGTGGAGACTAAGGAGGATGCTGCTAACCTTTGTGAATTGGTGGAACTTAAGCCGTGAAAGGTAAAGTTGTTAATCCACGATTCTGCCGATTCACATGTTAAAAAAGGTATAAGGGAGACGGCTACCAAAGCCGGGCTTACGGTGAAGGTGGTGAAGGATGTTGTGATGATGGAACACTAATGGGTTTATTAAGGATTCTGTCGTGATGGACACTGATGGATTAGGTTATGGTGAATGTTGAACAGTTCATTTGCTATGTTGGCTCGGATTGTTTCGACATCATACATATGTTTGAGGTTGTATTTGCTTTATTATTATTATTTTTTCTTCCGAGAGAAATATTTGCTTTCTTTATTTCTACTCAGAATTGCAAAACTATAAAACACTACGAAAATCAATAGAAAGACAGCACACACACCGAACAAAAACAAAACAAAAGGATCCGTGGAGCATCCAGTTGATATGAAAAGGACATAGCTTTGATTGATTACCCGAAGTTGTGTCAAAACCCATAATTCAATAAACACATTCAACAAAAATAATCCCAAAAACCCACACAGCACTTCAGACCCAAAAAACGGGGCAAGTTTTCTCTAGACTAGATACTCCAGCCTCTTGTGCGAGAGAAACATTCCCTCTTCTGGTCAAACTCACTTCGACAAACCAAACTGAGTTCACACCTCACTGTTCCTAAGATGTTCATTAGGAATAGTTTAAATGACGGTGCCCCCGCTTAAGTGATGGTTCCTTTAGTTGACTTATGAGCAGTGAATTGGCCGTTATGCCAATGCTTTTTCTGGTATAAAGTCTGAAGGGATAGTCACAATAAGAAATTTGTTCAAATCCATGTATTCTTTGCTAGTGTTTTTCATGGTGTTTGGGATTTATGTCTCAATATCTCCAATGCTTTGTAAAGTCAGGTTAATGTTCCCAATGTTGCTAGCTAGCTACCTTGGCAAATAACTCAACTTTAAAATTAAATTTAACTAAAACAGATGATGTACAATGATGATTGGAAATGTTGATCAGGAATCTAAGACATATATCCATCTAAGCACCGGTTAGGCTAAGACAGAGACTATATCAGTGCAAAACTTCTAAGAAAATTAAATTCAAGGTTACTAAACTAATTCAATGAGATTCTACGTACTGATAATCTTCAAATTTATGATACCAGATGATGAATCATCAGATCAATCCCTCCAAATACTGAATGGATTGATCGTGATCATGATCTGGATCTCAGTTCAAATTCAGTCCACCACAGAGAGAACTTGAAACTCTTTGTCAGCAATGGCTGCTTCCATGAGATGGCGCCGGCCAATTTCCCCACCATTGTCCAAGAAAGACTTGAGCAAGTTTTCAAAGAAGCCCCTCAACAGCGTCACCCCTGGATGATGTTCTATACAAGGCTTGTTCCAGTCCCCCATATTCCAAAGCAAAATGTGTGGCACTGCATTATCCCCGTACCCTTGCTCCTTAAACTCGCTCTGTTTTGCCTCATATAGAGTCTTCAAGAATGTACCATCACCATATCCTCCGAAGTCGATGAACACAAACACCTTCTTAACCATCTGCTCTGCCTTCAAGTTCTCTTTCACAGCGACTTCCAGAATGAAGTCCCATACCTTCCGACTATGAACATACGATCCCAACTCACTATTACATGTCCTCATCATAAACTCGCACTTGGACTTGAGATCATCCCCTTCTATCGAATACAGCAGCAGCTGATTCGGCAAATGACTGGAACTGATCAACTTTCCTTTCCATGCCGTCTCTTCACTCAATTCAGACACCATAAGTCCCAAACTCACCACCAATTCTCTAGGGCGTATGCCCACGAAATCTTTGATATGACACACTGCCAAGCAGTTTTTTAATTTTCCCAAACCATGCCCCTGCATTTGCTGCTGTTGCTGTTTTATGTACATATCTTCCACCTTTGCCTTCCACTGAAGCTCAGCCGCTTCCCCGACATCCCCATCTTCTACTACATAGCGTATGATCTCATTTGGGAGCATAGCATCCGGCTTTATTATGCTGCCATGGCCACTCAAATTGCTGAGTATTTAGGGAAATAGAAGAGAGACAGGAGAGAGCTTTGAGAAATCTGAAGATGATGAGAATCAAATCTGTTTTTCTCATTACCACTATACACGTACAGTAGAGCCTTTATACTTAGGCTTTGCTTAATGGTTAAGCATAGCTAACAACCCCTAACAACCTTCACGTGTTTAACATAACTAATTACAGACACGTGTCACACTAATTCTAATCATTAGCTAAACAGCCCCCCTCAATCTCAGAGTAGGGACCTAATCTGAGATTGGTACAATGCTTAGAGAAAACTGGACCATGAAGCCCCTTAGTCAGGACATCAGCAACTTGCTCATCAGTTGGTATATACTGAACTAAGAAATCCCTGCGCTGCACACGCTCCCTGATGAAATGGAAGTCAGTGTCGAGGTGTTTGATACGGGAGTGATATATAGGATTGGAGCTCAGAGCCAATGCCGACAGATTATCGCAATACAGAATAGGAGGTTCAGACAAATATACATGGAGATCAACAAGAAGTTGCCGGATCTAGACAACATCTGCTGAGGCATTAGCAAGAGCCTTATACTCGGCTTCAGTGGAACTTCGTGAAACAGAACCTTGCTTCTTCGATTGCCATGAGACCGGGTTAGACCCCAAGTACACCACAAAGCCCGTAGTGGATCTGCGAGTGTTAATATCACCCGCCCAGTCAGAATCACTATAAGCAGACAAGAGGAAGGGACCTGAAGCAGCATAAGTAAAACCATGACTGAGTGTGCCCTGTAGATAACGCAAAATGCGTTTCACTGAGAAGAAATGATGCTCGGTAGGATTATTCATGTATTGACAGACAGTATTAACAGAATGGGCAATGTCAGGCCTTGTAAAGGTAAGATATTGTAATGCACACACAATGCTACGATACTGTTTTGGATCCTTCAAAGGAATACCATCAGTGAGTAAAATCTGTGTGTGAGGTTTCAGAGGTGTAGGACAGGGTTTACAAGAACTCATCCCAGACTTTGCTAACAAATCAGTAGCATATTTTTGTTGACTAACAAAGATGTCTCCATTAGACTTATAGGAAATCTGAAGACCAAGGAAATAAGTAAGGGTGCCCATATCCTTGAGCTCAAACACTGAACCCAGCTCTGTAATTACCTCCTGGATGACCTGCGGGTTTGAGCCAGTGAGAATAATGTCGTCGACATAGAGCAACAAAACCACAATAGCTGAGTCGGAATACTTCACGAATAAACTGGGATCACTATGAGACATCTTGAACCCAAGCGCTGGAAGAAAACCAGTGAACTTAGCATTCCAGGCCCTTGGAGCCTGTTTTAAACCATACAACGACTTCCGAAGTTTACAAACATAGTCAGGATGGTGAGGATCTTCGAACCCCTGAGGTTGCTTCATATACACTTCCTCCTCAAGTTCCCCATGTAAGAAGGCGTTCTTTACATCCAATTGGCGAAGAGACCAATGATTGTAAGCTGCCAAACTGAGAATGATGCGAACTGTAGCATGACGAACAACTGGGCTAAATGTCTCTTCATAATCAAAACCAGCCTCTTGACTAAAACCCTGGGCAACCAGTCGTGCCTTATATCTAGAAATGGAACCATCAGAGTGTCTTTTCAACTTATAAATCCATTTTGAACCAACAATGTTTGTATTAGCAGGAGGAGGTACCAACGCCCAGGTACCTTGCATATGTAATGCGGAAATCTCTTCGACCATGGCCTTTGTCCAATCAGCAGAAAAAGAAGCAACACGATAGCTAGAAGGTTCATCTAGAGAAATAGTGTCATGGAGACTGGTGTAACACATGTAGTCAGAAAAATCCTTCCTTTGAACAACCCCAGTTTTAGACCGAGTAAGCATAGAATGAGACGGGCCTGCTGGAGCAGAGTCAATAGGAACACTGGGTTGTACAGAAGCAGGAGAAGAAGAAGGAATAGAATCAATAGAAGGTAGAAGAACTTGTAATTGCTGCTCCGAAAGAACAGGGTTAGAAGGCTCAAGCTGAGACAACGCAGGAGAGGCTAACAAATCTTGCTGCTCTGACAGAACTGGTGTATAAGGCTCAGGCTGAGACAGCTCAGGAGAGGCTAACAAATCAGGAGTTGTAAGACTAGGAGCACTAAAGGAACTATGAGAAGCAAGCACTGAAGGTGATGTAGCAGATGTAGGTAACAGCATAGGAATAGGGGAGAGAACAATTGAAGGAGAACAAGATGAGGTAGGCAGAGAGAAGTGTGGCTTGAAAGGAAAAATGGTTTCATCATGAATAACATGTCGAGACACCAAGAATTTGCTAGTGGAACAATTGTAACACAACACTCCTTTATAGCCCAGTAGATACCCCATGAAAACACGCATAACAGTGCGAGGTTGAAGCTTAGTAGTATTAGTGGCTCTTAAACATGGATAGACAGCAGTACCAAAGACATGAAGGTGTCTTATATCAGGATGCCTATGAAGAAGCCTATAATATGGAGATTGATTAGAAAGCACCTTACTAGGCATGCGGTTAATCAAATAGGCAGAATGGGCCATAGCATGAAACCAAAATTGATCAGGCATAAAAGCTTCTTGTAAAAGGGTTATAGAGGTTTCTAATAAGTGGCGATTCTTCCGCTCAGCGAGGCCATTCTGTTGGGGTGTGTAAGGACAGGAAACTTGATGAACAATGCCATGAGATGCAAGAAATTCATTGAATTGAGTGCTCATATACTCACCACCACCATCACTCTGAAGAAACTTAATAGAAGCATGAAAATGAGTTGTAAGAAAAGCAACCAATCTGGTAAACATTGTAAACACCTCAGACTTGGCATAGAGAGGATATAACCACAGAAAACCAGTGTATTCATCAATGAAAGACACTACATATCGATAGCCAGAAATGGAGTTACATGGAGAAGGACCCCAAACATCACTATGGAGTCTATAAAATGGAGACGAAGCCTTATTGTGATGACTAGAAAATGGTAACCGATGCATTTTACCATCTAGACAAAAAGAACACAGCTTAGAAATTGAATCAGATACCACTGGGATTTGAGCGACTGTAAGCATGAGTTGAACAACTTCATTCGTAGGATGTCCAAGCCTACTATGCCAAAGAGATGAACGAACTTTCTGACCAAGAAAAGCACTTGTCTGTGACTGAGAAGCTTGGCTACTAGTACCAACTGATGATAAAGAAGTAGGAATAGGATACAAGCCATGCTCACTCTTGCCCTGGAGAAGCTTCTTGTTGGTGACCTTGTCCTGTATTAAAAATCCAGATGTATCAAAGATCATGCGACAATTATTGTCATGACATAGCTGATACACAGATAAGAGATTTGCTGTAAGTTGAGGCACATGTAAAACTTTAGAGAGAGTTAGAGAAGAAGAGGCAGTGGGAATATGAGATTTGCCAATATGAGCAATATGCAAACCTTCCCCATTGCCCACTACAACATTCTCAGCTGAAGTACAAGGTGTAGCATTGTGCATTGTAGTCATGTGTGGCACCATATGGTGACTCACTCCACTATCAGCAATCCACACCGCATCAGGAGAGAAAGAAGCTTGAGTAGCCACAGCAGTGAGAGAGGATGGAGGAGGAGATCCCTGATAGGCATAGTTGGAAAGATGATAGCAATCCAATGCACCATGGCCCTTTTTGCCACAAATTTGACACTCAATAATGTGCGACAATTATTGTCATGACATAGCTGATACACAGATAAGAGATTTGCTGTAAGTTGAGGCACATGTAAAACTTTAGAGAGAGTTAGAGAAGAAGAGGCAGTGGGAATATGAGATTTGCCAATATGAGCAATATGCAAACCTTCCCCATTGCCCACTACAACATTCTCAGCTGAAGTACAAGGTGTAGCATTGTGCATTGTAGTCATGTGTGGCACCATATGGTGACTCGCTCCACTATCAGCAATCCACACCGCATCAGGAGAGAAAGAAGCTTGAGTAGCCACAGCAGTGAGAGAGGATGGAGGAGGAGATCCCTGATAGGCATAGTTGGAAAGATGATAGCAATCCAATGCACCATGGCCCTTCTTGCCACAAATTTGACACTCAATAATAGTGGAGCCTTGAGATGAGGTAGAATTGCGAAAAAAGCAATTTGCAGCTGTGTGACCTCTCTTACTGCAAATTTGGCATTCTGGAACAATTCCAGACTTAGGAGGACCCTGAAATTTATTCGGAAAACCACGACCAAAAGGCCTAGAACCAGAAAATCTGCCTCGGCCACCAAAGGAACCAGACGATCGACCATGTGTATGTGAACTCATATAACCAGTAGGAGAAAAGGAAGGCACAGAAGGAGTGGGGAGAATACCAGCACCAGAGAGATTAGGAGACGGTGTAGAAGAGGTAGATCCAGTATAGGTAGAAGAATGGCTGAACATACCAACCATAGGAGAATGGGGCAAGAGTACACGAGACTCAGTGGCTTGTTCAGCTGCAAGCAAATGATTGCGGAAATCTTTGAAAGAAAGTGAAGTGTCACGAGCAAGAAGCACAGTTTTGATCATGTCATACTCAGAAGAAAGGCCATTCAACACAGCAAGCATCAAATCATCGTTAGAGACAGAAACACCAGCGACAGCAAGCTGATCACGGACATGTTTAAGGCGAAGTAAAAACTTCTCAATAGAATCAGCGCCTTTTTGAGCAGTTTGAAGCTCCGTTTTCAAGAGATTCACACGAGCACGAGACACGGTAGCATATCGATCTGTCAAATTCATCCACGCCTCAGAGGCAGTCTTAGATCCGATCAAGTATTCAATCGCCTCATCGGAAAGCGTTGCAATCAACAAGCTCAGCAACGCTTTGTCAACCTTCAACCAGTCTTTATATGCCGCGGTGATTATCGACGTGACGCCTTCCTCATCGAGAATTGCATATTTCGGTGGAGCAACACTGGAGCCATCGAAATGTCCGAAGAGATCATGACCTTCCAACACAGATTCAATCTGATATCGCCATTTTAGATAGTTGTCATCCGTCAAACGAATGGTGAGCATGCCAAGGAGGCCATCAAGCTTGAGAGTTGAAGTCGCCATAAAAAAAACACAGAGAAACAGAGACGAAGATGAGGAATTGCAGAAAACACAGAAGAATCAGAGGAATTAGATGACAGAAGAAACCAAGAATCAAAGGAATCAGAGAAATCGGATGAGAATGAGAAGAAAAGAATCCAAGAATGTCAAAGAGAAATCAGAGAAATCAGATTCAGAAACAGAAGCAAGGAAGACTCATATGAGATCTAGAAGATGGCGGAAGCAAAGAAAATCCCAAATCGGTCCATGGCTCTTGATACCATGCTGAGTATTTAGGGAAATAGAAGAGAGAGAGCTTTGAGAATTCTGAAAATGGTGGGAATCAAATCTATTTTTCTCATTACCACTATACACGTACAATAGAGCCTTTATACTTAGGCTTTGCTTAATGGTTAAGCTTCTGAGCTAACAACCCCTAACAACCTTCATGTGTTTAACATAACTAATTACAGACATGTGTCACACTAATTCTAATCATTAGCTAAACACAAATTGCCTCATCTTCCTCCTGCCTTTTTCAACTCCTCCAAATACATCGTAACTTCTGAGCGCTGTCATCCCAAAAACATGCCTTGACTATTTTAGTATCTATACAACAAGGGCACCAAAATTTCATTCCTAAGCCGCTCCCACTCTTGTGATTGATATGATTGATATGATTGATTTGATTGATCTGGTTTGCGTAGGAAAAACCTCCTCGCAATGTTTTCACACAGCAAAATGACGAGGGAAGCACGGGTGGCCTTGGGGTGTTTGCTAATGTAACACACTGCAGCCTTGCTAACAAAAAGATCAACATAAGTGTCAGCATCAAGAGTACCATCTTTATCATCTTCTTTTTCGTCGTCTTCGTCGTCTTCATCACCATCAGTTATATAATCGGATGGCTTCAAATCGAGCTTGTGCTGCTTGAATTTGTCAATATCAGACTTCAACTGCTCCATGAAGACATCCATAACCCAGTCGTGTAAGAGCTTATAGTCTGGGTCATAGTGGAGCCGCTCTGCAGCATCTTGGCCTTGTTCTGTAAGGTGGTAGAGAATCTCGAGAAGGTCATAAAAACTCTCGAATGGAAGGGCAATGGAGGGGAGGTTGCATAATAGCGTCTTGGGGTGGTTCTGGTGGAGCCAAAACACATACGTGTAGATGGTTATGTTATTAGCTTATCACACGTGGCGTTGGATAATCCGGCGTGTGATAAAGCAGTTTGTGTGCATAGAACATAGTTTGGTTGGGCCACACGTGATGTTGAATTTTCCGGCGTGTGTGCTCTTTGGAACACTGGTTACTTTACCACACGTGGCGTTGGATTTTCCTGCGTGTGGTAAAGGATCCGTACACTTTGGTTACTATTACTTTTCTACGCATGGCATTGGACTCTTCGGCGTCTAGTAAAGTAACAGGGAGATGAAAAAGGAATTTTTGTACTATATTTGGAAACGATATTAATGTTTAAAAGAATTAACTTATTGGTATTACTGAAAATAATTGTATATCATTTGGTTCGTGATTATGTATTGTAGAATTACATGTGGCTTGATCCCTTAGTAAGTGTACGTAGGTAGCCTGGGGCCTTACCCAGGTGTATCCGTAAGATCAAGTATATTTTTGGACTTTACTTTCGTCACTAAGACCATATCCTATTTATTAGGTTTATAAAGTTTGGTTTGAATTATGTCGGGGAGCCTGAAGCCCAGTCAAGGTGAGATTAAATGATTAGTTATATTTCAGTATTATTGATTAGTTGTGGTCAAAAGGTGTTTGTGGTCTTGTTGAGTCTGAAACCTATTTGGATGGATGATTGATCCTGGTCTAAGTCTTTAGAATTGCTCTGTTATCGCCCATGTAGGGTGGGGCTTATTATGTGAATTGTGTGCTTTTACATTGTGCATGCTGAAGTTTGGGAATTTTAAACTTCATTTTTGACAGGTTGAAAAATTTGGGAAATGTCCGTTTTTCAGGGGAAACTGTGCCGAAATTTCAACAGAAAGTCTTGTCCCGCTTTTCCTTGATTTGAAAAATAAAAATAAAGGCTTTATTGTTAATAAGTGAGCTCGTCATCAGCTTGATGTCGAAAATACCTCAGGATTCGTCTTGGATTCCGAGGAATTCGAGGCGGGTCTTGTCAAAGTTCTCTAGGGTTAAAAATTTAGCCCTCCATAGTGTAGGACTAAATTTTTCCATCTCCAGTCATGCATGACTATATTTTAGAGTCCTTCATGTTTTATTATTTTGAGAAAAACTATAGTACAACACTCATACATTCCACAACTATGTATTATTTAATTTAATTAAACTACTATTTAGAGACAATATTCCATATATGACACGTATACGTTGATAAGAACAAGAATTTTTTATATATTTTTTTTAAACAACACGAATTGAAAACATTTAAAAATGTGACCATATTTATAAAATAAAATAAAAAATGGATGGGTTTTAATGGTCTGACCTCCAACAGTCATGACTCATGACCAAGAATTTTTTATAATATTTTTTAAACAACACTTGAAAACATTTAAAAAAAGATGACCACATTGATAATTTATCTTCTTGAAAAGCACATACATGGGGCCCACAAAAAATTTTAGCCTATGACTGAAGATGGGTTTTGCATTATTTTAAGGTTATATTTGGGATATAGCTCATGCGGGAGATGACTTAAACTCTGAAAATCCCTGTTGTATTGGATTGGACGATACGGCCCATCAGACACTCACACTGACTATACTTGGTACTATTACTAACGATTAAATCCAATTCACCTAGCGTGCGGTTTTATCACGCTAGTGTTACTACACTATACAATTTATAATATAAATAGATTGATAAAACCGCAAGCTAGTGTTATGGACACACTGAAATATTTCTCAATATTATGTTTTCAAAAGAACTGAAAATAAAAAATAAAAAATGAAAACGAATTAGTTACCCAAACGGGCAATAGAAAATCTAAAATTTTAAAGTGCACATTTTGACGAAGCCATGCTTACAGTATGCTATCTGACCAAAGTTCTTGTTTACTCTTCAATTTTGATATCAGTGTCACCGTGCAGCAGCGTGATCTAAAGGGCAATGCATGTAAGTTAGCCAGCTGCCCACCCTTGAGGCAAAGGCCTCTTATTCGATTAAATCAATTCCCATCCCTGGAAGTTGCTGTTGTTCATATATATATATATATATATATATATATCACTATAAAGATCTTGAAATTAACTCAACAACTTGAGATACATCGTACAAAATGGAAATCACTTGTTACTTGAGGAGGGGTGTGATTCTGCAACTGCAAATCTTGAGTTTTTTGGAACCCCAACATTTTTCTGGTGCTGATCCTACTCATGGGTTCACTCGTGTGCAATTGACTGAACACGACCGCAAATTACAGGTACCATATAACAAATCTCCGGCAGATCGTTACAGCAGAGTGGATGGAGTTGAGAAGTTTTGGGTCTCTACGCCAATGATAAGCCCTTTAAAAAGCAGAGTCCAACCGGACCACGCACAGAAATAAGAATGTATTATTCTTTCCCCTCCTCTCTATCTCTAGGCTAATACCCTTTTCAAATTAAGTACCAAATTAATGTTTCTTGTAGTAAATATAGTGTATCAAAGTTGTGTTTACGGCCCACGAACCTCTTTGAGTTCATGATGCGAGAAACACTTGTGTGAGGCCATTCTTTTCACGTAACAAAGAAATTATTAAATTAATGACAGAATAGTTCAGTTAAAAGATAACATGTTTCCACAAAATAAAACGTCTCATTAAATTTGAATATATGACATCTTTTGAGTGTTTATAGAATGTTATCTCAAAATGTGTGTTTGAAACAATATATTGTCTTTGATATTCACAATTCCTAAAAGAAAAGTTGCTTCTCTTTTTTCCACGGGGCATGGTTACACTTCTGGAGTTTGGCAATTTGAAGGCCATTTCTTTTGTGCCCCAGCGTAGTTCAGGCGTTACAATAATGCAGATCTTTGGTGCAGCCCATCAAGCTACAACCCTACAATTAAGGGTGTACGATGGGGACTTGAAGTACTACATACACAATGTGGTGGCTGCAAATATCTATAATAAATGGTTCAGACTGAATGTGATTCACAATGTTGGTGCAAGGAAGTTGACGAGGAGAAACAAAAGTTCGTAAAAGATCACGGTCGAGCTATCATCTACTTCAAATATGGAGTTTATGCAGCCCCATCTGGTTCATCTCACTACATGGAATCAAGGTGGAAGGGGATCAAGCTTTTCAGAAAGTGATGGTGAAGGGGCCTAGGGCTGGCTGCTTAACGATGATGACATATTAGAATGAAACTAAAATAAATCAATGAAAGACACTCAAAAAAGTGAAGGGCCCTAAATCAACCTCTTGCTTCATTAGGGTATTTTTTTCATTTGCCCAAAATACTCATGTGTAAAGAATAAAGAAGAGGCAAAGACATTTGTTCAATAATTTGTAGACAATACAATTGCAAAAATTAAGGAAAATATTTTAAGACATGGATAGCGCGCGTGATTAAAAAAAAAATCCTTCTACCACCAGTTAATATAATAAAATTCAGACGTGTGTAGAGAGTAGTTAATAGAAACCCAACAAATGGAGTAATTTACTTCTCACAATCATTAACAGAAACACCAAGAAAACAAAACAACTAACTATAGTTTATATTGTTGGAATGTTCAAACGCCTGTGTCCCAGCCTTCCCTACCTCCCAGTTTCCTCGAAACCAAACTCATCAGCATCAACTCACTCCTTCGCTTTCACCACCATGCTGTGGCCGCCGAGGTCCGGCGGCCTTGGAATCGCCGCCATCGCCTATGTGGTAGTTGACTACATCCGCCACTTGTCGCCTGCGTGGCACGGCCGTCTTCAGCCAGCGCTCTTGTCCGGATTCGCTCTCATTGCCGTCAGTCGCGTCCCCTTCTACAAGCACTGGTCCTCTGAGTTTCGCTCCGTCTTTCCCTTTATTGGTTCTATGCTCTTTATGCTCTTAGCTCTTCTCTTTGAAGCTCTCTGCGTTCGATTTGTCACCGCTGCCCTCGGCCTTGATTGGAACAGGTATTTCTGCTTTTTCTCTTGATTCTCTTTTTGGGTCTGTTTTGATCTGCATTGTTTCTTCATTGAGCTTAGAATAAAGCTACCCAGATGATGAATCTGTTAGAATTTTGGGTTTTGTGCTTTCTTCTGGGTTTTATTTGCTTAAATATTATGTGGGTTGAGTTTGATTTGTGTTGTTTCTCTTGTCATTTCGATTGATGCTCGTAATCTCTGACTTATCCAATCAATTTGGTCAATTTCATGTTAGGATTAGTGCCGGCATTTTAAGGATCTGATCATACACTTTTCGAATGTTGTTGGATCGGAGATGCCAAATTTAGAATTAATACTCAGATGATGATTAAAGATATCAAATGAAATGTTCATTAATGATATTATTTATTTCATTAATGATATTATTTATTAATAATTGTTCTAAAGGAGCTGCCTTTTTCCTTTTGTTTCTTTGGCTTACAAGGAAGGAGATTTGAACTTAGTTTCTACCCATTAATACCCATCCTATTGCAATGCCCTTCCAGTGCCACTTGTTGTGATAGAGAGCATGGACAAAGCAACTGGGTTTTACGAGTTACAATAGCAATTGTGGTTCAATTTTGGTCTGGGAAAATTTGTTCCCTTCTTCAGTTGGTGAACCACCCTTGCATGTTAGTCTATAGAGTATTGTCATATATTTAAGGTAAGAATTTTTCATTTTGAGTCTTCTAAACCTTTTTCCAGGAATGTTTTTGGCTATTATCATGAAAATGCAATGTCATAAATCTTTTAATGAATAAGTATTAGATCATATAATAAAGATTGGTCATGTTGGATAAGCTATTGCATAAATTATTTCATGTGGTTGCATCCTTGTGTAGACCGTGGTTGTGGCTGGCCTTTACAGGCTATAAAAATGTCCACAACAACTCTTTGTGACATGACCTGTGAGAGACCCTATTGAACGTTAGGAGATACCAATTGATGTGGGTCCTTTCAAGAACCATTTGGGCTTTGGTGATCAAGTCAATCAGGGATCTGGATCATCATTGGTTCGCTTGCTCGACTCCAATAAACAGTAGCCAGAAAGTATATGATTCGAGGGTCCGAGGTGTACTAAAGTATTGATAAAATATAAGTATTAAATAAAATTTTGATAAAAACACACAAATAATAATGATACAATTCTGTTAAAACTTAAATGATAATATACATCAAGTATTTCTTTAAACTTTTCCCAAATATGTCAGAAAAATGAACAAGAGACTAAATAGCTAGAGATACAAATTATATAATAATAATTTGTCTTCCAGATAAAGAAACTTGGATTTACCTAGAGTAGAAAAACTATCAAATTTCTTAACCTATTGAAACATGTTTCGTCCCTCATAGTATTCGTACGTTGAGGAAGAAGTGAAATTTTCCAGGCCCAAGCTGCTCCATGGCCATTCAGTCAGGCTAAAGCTTGCTAGGCCAGTTGATTGTAGGCCAAATGCTGACTCTGACAAAGTCAGGAATATTCAGACAAAGAAAAAGCCAAATGTTGCAGGTGGCTAGGGTTACTAAGGCCATACCTTCCTATAATGAGAAATTAATAGATGAGATTGGCGTACCACAGCAACATATATAGTATACAATCTCTTTTTGAAATTTTATAACTTATGCATAGCTTGGCACCTCCTTCCTTTCATCCTTAAAATTTTCCACAGAAGAAATGTCCCAATTGAATGTCCCTGGTAAAACTAGTTGTGGTGTCATCCCTTTGTTTCTTTTCGGCATTGTTGTTTGGGTTCTGCTGCACAGTTTCTATTTGGTTCTTGTTACTGTAAAATTTCTATTTGCGTGCTTGTTGCTCGTCTTTACATCATTCTGGAAGTTATCAAGTTTGTTGCTGTTCACAACACCATTGGAACACCTTCATCAGCTGCCCCTGTAAGCTTCCATCCTGTACCTGTTCAATTTGTACACTCAAGCATCAATTTCCATTTAATTTACTCCAGTCCTTTAGGCCTTCCCATAAATCATCTTCCAAAGCTTCTTTAAGGACTCAGACAAATGAAAATCATGGTTTCTTCCATAAATATCAAGTTCTTAAATAAGCAATTTTGCTTCTCACACACATTCACTAGTCATCTGGAAGGTCTGATATGGTTCTGTCCGTAAAGTGGCTTAACGATGAAATTATGGAGGTGCTTTGTTATGGTTATGCATGTTTGCTCCATGCCTGTTAGCGCTTATTTGGCTGTAAAACTGTGTGCTTCAATATAATGCATATTCCAGCATGAAAGTTAGACGACAACTGGACCACAAAAGCTTTAACTGTTAGGGAATGGGTCACAGTGTAATGTAATATAAACCAAACAAAAAGAATTTGAAAAACACAGAAAAAGATCATGCTGAGATTTTTTTAGTCAATTTTGCAAAGATAAGCAACATTTTTCATTTGCTCTCTTTTAAATAAAGGCCCTGTGCATTATGTGATAATTTGAGATTGATATGTGGGTTTTATCAGATGATTTATGATTTCTGCTTTCCTATATTTCATAGCATCTTTTCATAGACGATACTGTTTCATTGTTTATGAAATTAGCCGTAATTTTTAGATAAGTATTTAACAAGAGGGAAGAATAATTGGCTTTTTTAATGTTTGTCACTTCAGTCATACATCTCCTCTTCCCGACACTGGCCAGTGGTTGCTTTTGGCGCTGAATGAGAAGCTTCCTCATCCATTAGTTGAAATATTGAGAGCCCGTATTATTGGACTGCACCATTTCCTCATGTTGTTTGTGATGTTGGCTTTTTCCGTACTGTTTGACTCTGTTAAAGCTCCTGGCCTTGGACTAGGTGCACGCTATATGTTCACCATGGCTATTGGCCGCCTTCTTCGTGCCATAACTTTTGTATCAACAGTTCTGCCATCAGCCCGGCCTTGGTGTGCTACTGCTCGTTTCAATGTCCCTTTATATCCTCATCGCTGGGCTCAGAAATATTATGTTCCTTATGCTTCGGATGCTAATGCTATTCGTGAGTTGTTACGACAGGATATAGCTTTCGGTAAGTACTCAATAGGTTCCTTTTCTTCTTGATCTGAAGCCCCTGGATTTCATTTTCTTGATTGCAACTGTATGACCAAAAGACCATTTACTATCTGACCTTCTGACCCAAGTTTGGTATGAGCTGGGCATGAGTTATAAATTCAGAAGTTTTTTCCCAATTCTCACACATGGATAGGGTCCTTCATGGCCCATGTGAGAGTTCGGGGAAAAAAGAGTTGTGTTGTACAGCATTTTCCTATACAGTATTCCTCTAATGCCGCTCCCTTTTCTACTGCAAATACATTCTCCTTTTAGGATCAGCTGGCAGTATATGTTACAACATGTTTCATTTGTTTCCCGCAGCTGATACTGGAAAATTACTTGGGGACTTCCGGCCGGATTGGGGTCCAATGAGCTTCCTAATAGATTTCTTGCGACCCAGTGAATCGGATGGACCATGGTATAATTTACTGAAGAATGCCGGAGGCGGCTGCAATGACCTCATGTACAGTGGGCATATGCTAGTTGCTGTGTTGACAGCTATGGCTTGGACGGTACTACCTATTATGTGTTTTGAAATTTGTGGCCATTGCCACTTGATGTCTAAGATGCAACCTAGTTGTGCTGTTGATTGTTGATTTCTATAAATCTGATCAAATGTTGCAGGAAGCTTATGGTGGTTTTAGCTCAGTTCTCATATGGTCACTTGTCGCGCATGCTGCACAGAGAGAAATACGGGAACGTCACCATTATAGCGTAGATTGTGTTGTGGCCATTTATGTGGGAATCCTGCTATGGAAGATGACAGGTTTTTTGTGGCCATCCAAGGATGCATCCAGATATAGGAGGATCACAATGCTCGAGAAGATTCAAAGTCGACTTACCCAAGCTGCTAAGGACTACGACATAGATGAAGTGAGAGAGCTTCTCAGAGGGGTTGAGTTGGGAAGTCAAGAGAGCCTGAGTAATAAAGGGCCAAGCACGGGTATGTGGATATTTGCTTGTGCTATCATAATCACTGCAATTGTCATTGTTGTTCTCGCCTTGACATTGACAACTGATGGATAATTTTCTGCTCATGATTTCCTTCCACGATTTTAGGGGGTTAGAGCTTGTAGTTCCTTGTATTGTAAAATTTTGTGAAGAATTGTTCGTGTTGTAGCAGGTTGAGGTTTTCTCATGATATATAGAGAAAATCTTTTGAAATCAAAGGCATAAAGCTAGTGAGTGGATCCAAAAGTAATTAATTCGGACTCTCTACTTAGAACTACATTTTAGGCTTTTATGTCATTCTCTTGTTAATATGAATAGCTATGAAATGGAGGGGTGGGCACGGTCTAGTTTGGTTCGGTTCACCCCTCAAACTGAAACCGAAAATTACACATAGTTCTGCTCCATTCTTCAGTTTACCGGTTTAAGTCACCCAACGTAATGTTTGTTTCGTAGATTTGACACTTAAGGGAATGTGTATTAGATTCTTCTCCCGTTGGTGCTGCAAACATGGGAAAGGAAGAAATGAGCTTTTCATTCTCATGTGTTTCTAAAATGCCAAAATGGGAGTTTTCCCTTTTCTTTTCTTTTTTCTTTTTTTTAAGGGTGAAAGGTAATGACAATTATACTTTTATATTTGTGCTTTTAAAAAAAATAAAATTCCTTTCGGTCTTCTAATAAATTTATTTTCATTTCCGGCATTAAATTCCATGAATTTTTAGAATGGGATCTCGTATTCATTATAAGCATAATAACATAATTTAAATGAGGAATAATGTAATATTAAATTATTTCGAGTAACAATTAGTATACAAATTTTAGTTTGCCATGTGTAGCAAAATGTTTTTTTAATTTGAAGTTAAATTAAAATTAAAACTAAAATTAACGAAACGGTGAAGGAGAGTGCAGCGTCACGCCTGTAATAGCGCGTGAGATCCAATAACTTGGGAATTGGGCAACAGCTAAATGACGGAATCTTCAATTAGGACACTTCGAAAGAAATGAACGAATCGGCGAAGTCTATTAAACTAGTCAACCAGCTCTTAAATTCCCGAAAACAATCCCAAAGTCAACAAGCTTTAATTATTCCAACAATCGAACGGTTCGTAATCAAGAACCTTCATAGCTTCATCCAGCTGCAGACACAGGATATTATTTACTCCTCTTGGCGAGCCGGGAGCGCTACTGTTCTTCGCTGGAAGTATTTTCTTTCATTGTCTTTTCCGATTATCCAAACCGCAGCTAAGGAGAGAAAATTCGTGGGGTGAAATCTCTGTGACCGGAGCATCCAAATGGCGGTTTCTGTTACGGCATCCACAATTTCTTCTTTCAGCTCTGACCGTACGACTCGCATAGCTGCGACTTCTTCATCCTCGGCTTCTTGTTCAAAGCTATCTTCATCGTCTTTTCTGCAAGTTCCTGTACAGCTTCGATGTGTTCGCATCGGAAGAAGTGGAGTCTCGGCTCCCTCACGGCCTCGGATTCTTCCTGTGGTAATCTTTTTTCAAATTTCCTAGCCTCATGCTTTGTTTGTTTCCCGAGAAACTCGAGGAATTATACCTGAAAATTGTGAAGCTTGCAAGTTCAGCTCTTTTAACCTGAGTTGTGGTTCTTCTTTTTCTGAAAGAAGTATATTTCTCTGTTTTATGGTAAAACTTTATTGTTTATGGTTAGAATTGTGTTTGACTTCACTAATTAATTTGATTGTAAACACACAAATAAAATTACAGGGCATATAACTGGAAGCTGGAAGCATGTTGTTAAAATGTTTATAACCACAACACCAATAACTGCTATTACTTTGCCCCTTGCTTTTTCTTGAAGTTCTGAGAAAACCAAAAGCAGCATGGGGTTTTTGGGATTTCCAAATAGGAGTCCTTTTTGGGAGAAGAAAGCTGATTATGTGTAAGTGAGAGGTAATATTCATAAAAAGGTTTAGTCATAGCTAAGTCACAGGTAGATAGTTGGATTATTGAAATGGTGATCATTTGATGTGTCTATATTCTTTTTAAACGATGCGGCGTAAGCAGTAGTCAGAAGGAATGAATTCTGACTATTAGAGAGGTATCCTTGTCTGTGGCTGCATTTAAAATTACTATTTGCTTTCAAATTGCAGAATTCTGCATATCGCAGCATACAACTAATTGTTTGTTTCCTTCTTTTTTTCAAAGCATATACCATTCATTGCAAAAAGTGCAAGTGTTGATTAAAGATATTCACCATACATTGAACAAAAAACTATTGGATAGCAGTCTCCATTTGATCCCTTTGTAACAAGTTTCTTCGTTTTTCCCATGATAGATTATATAAATATAGTAGCCATCTCATTTCTCTGGACTATAAGCCTCACTACATGTACTTTCCGGTATACACACCATGGTATGCTGACATAATATGGCTTTGTCCTCCTGTCTCGCTGGCTATGTGGTTAAGCTACTCAAGACACAGATTTACTATGGTACCAGAGGCCAAACAGAAATTTTTACAGAGTTTAAGAAGGGCATGGAAATTTTTGTGGATTATTTTTGAAAATGTTAGTGGGATTCATTTGGAAGCACTCAGTTATCTCTAACCTTATTATCAGTGAACTAAATTGGCACCAAACCTTTGAAAAATGATAAGAAATCACAATATTGTCCCCTATTTAGGGTATTGATGTCCATTGTCAGGGCAATCATTAATGTGAATTATGTCGTGACAATTTGATCTACCTTTTTGCCACCGTAAGTACCTTTTCATGTCGACTGTTTGGGAATAAAATTGGGAGGGGGTGCCTAGAGAAAAAATAATTAAAAGAATGGGTTGGAAGGTATGTTATTGATCAAAGAATGGGTTGGAAGGTATGGATTAGATTCTAAAACTTGAATTTTGGAAATATCTTGTAAAGATTTTTTCTTTATATATAAGAAGAAATCTCATGTAAATATTTGTGCTAGTGATGTGATGAAAGCCATATCCAACGTCATGCATTCAGTCACAAGCTCTTTAATCAACTAATTTAGAAGCCAATTATTTATACCCCTCTAGTATTGTTCCTCTTATTGCTATTAGCATTCCCTCAAACTACAAGGGAAGATTTCATGGGGGATGATGACTTTTCAGTTTTGTAGTTATTCTTCTGGAAGTTGTTTTGACTATTCAATGACTTCGTTTACTGTTTCATTGCTGTCTTTTGAATACATAGCGTATCTGAATGAGGAAGTTTGACTGAATTGGTGATACCTTAATTACATGTTTATTCTGAAAAAATTGATATTACTAGGTTGCAGCAAAGAAGCAAACATTTTCCTCCTTTGAGGATTTGCTGGCTACTTCTGACAAACCTGTTTTGGTTGACTTCTATGCAACCTGGTAAGCTTTCTTGTTTGTTTCACTTCTTATTTCATTCATACAGAAATTCTCTAATTATGAATATTAGAATGCACATAAAGGTGCTTATTCTCTCATGCATGTAAGAGAAAAGCCCTTCATTTAAATTATCGACAAGGGATCGTGAGTAGAAATGGTCCTATAATGCTACGGGGCTGTATAGCCATTTTAATTTATCTATGCAGAATGAGTTACTTTCAAACTACTTAACCATTTGTAACTTTCTAATTATTGTTATATTGTCAGTAAAAACTTGACTTCCTGAACAAGATGATAACTGTTCACCTATTAGGTCCCTCCCCCCCTCCTCTCTCTCTCTCTCTCTCTCTCTGCCTTGAAAGGAAGGTAACACATCTGAGTAACAAAATCTGTGGTTGACAGGTGTGGTCCTTGTCAATTTATGGCTCCTATCCTCAATGAAGTGAGTATTACTCTGAATGACAAGATCCAGGTGGTGAAAATTGACACTGAGAAGTATCCTAGCATTGCTGATAAATACAACATACAGGCATTGCCTACTTTTATCATATTTAAGGATGGAGAACCATATGACCGCTTTGTAAGTTGAATTTGCTTTCTTCTTTCCTGAAAAATACTACTTCACTTGTATTGATGATTAGTTTGCCTCTGGTAGATGATTACATACCTGGAAATGTGTAATCTCTCTCATAATTTCTCATAGTGATTGCATCCTGTACATAGGGCTAGAACATGGAGCGGTTTTGTTTTCTTTTTCTTTTTTTGAGTGCATGGAGGGGTATTGTTATTGTTGTTGCTGTTATGAATTGATGTTAATTTCACTTTTTAGATTTTGTAATATAACTATGCATGTGCTTTGGTGTGTCCAATTTCATCAGGTGTGTCCCTTTGCATTCTTTTTTCATTGCTTTGTCTGATTTACATGCTAAATTATGAAGAATATATGCTAAATAAATTATGTATGTTCTCTGGGCCATGTATTTAAGCCATTACTAGAATAATCATTACCATCATCAGTTTGATATTGGTTTTCTTCTTCTAATTTGACTTCTTCTTCTTCTTTTTTCGGATTCTGAAAATTGATTTCATTCCTTGCAGGAGGGTGCTTTGACTGCCGATCAGCTTGTCGAACGAATAGAAACTACTTTGCAAGTTAAGCAATAGACAGGTGAGCTTTATAGAGAGGATTTGATGGAGGAGGGCATGGGAAGATCAGTCATTGTTGGATGTTCCTCTGCATTTAACTCTTTGTATGTAACTGTTTTGTACTTCGAAAAAAGAAAAAGAGAGAATTTGTCCATCTCATTGGTGGATTTTGTGCGGGTAAAGCTTAGGATTTTATGACGACTTCTGTTATACACAACAACACCCAAAAACAGTTTCATTATATTCAAAATCTTGAATTGGAAAGTTGATGGAAATTTGGCGTGATTGATCATATGGGCCTTCATTTGTATTGAAATTTACCTGAGTTGAGCTTGAATTGGAGTTTCAGATAAAGACCTTAGAGCATCCACAATGGGGGGTGTATATTTAATATACACCCCTTGTCATCGGAATCGTCTCCAATGGGGAGATGTAAAGGGATGTAAATATACATCACCACCATGGGAATGTAAAATAAAATGTATATTTACATTTATTTTTACATCCCTTGCAAGCAGGAACCACCCGAGAAAAGATAAGAAAAATAAAGAAAAGTCAGCATAAAAGGTTGGGACCCACTGCTACAATAATTGCTGGAAAAAAAATTCACATGTTGTTTGCTCATTTGTGGTTTTCATGCTCCCCTAAATGTTTTTGGATGAAATCATATCTTCTCCGAATTTAAATATTTTTATGTCTATTTGTTTGAAAAATTAAAATTAACCTAATACAAAAAAAATTAATTTTATTTAGTAAACATAAAATACAAATTTAACACAAAAACGAATTAAGATAAACAAAACAACTATACATCTTATATTTACATCTTTTCCCATTGGAGCAAAAAACGTATTTATACCCCCGGAGGTGTAAAGGGGATATTGTTTGGGCCTAAAAATTGACACACCCAGCCCAGCGAAAACGAGGCCCGGAATAGAAGCTGCAGAAAAATCAAAGAAAAATGGAAGCCCAAAAAACCAGAAGAGCCCAGCCCAAAACCTATCAAACAAACGAGGCTAAACTGGGCCTCACAGGCCCGATATGATAAGGGGTAGGAGAGCCCAGAAACAAGAACAATCCCACGTGATATCTCTGGGATAAAGAAAAGTCAACAATAGCAGCTGCCATAGAAGAAGCGATTGAAAAGATTATGACATCAAGCTATTCTGAAAAGCCTGAAAAACCTGAAGATCAAATCCCTCTCACATGTATATATTTAGATATTTTTTCTTCTATGTTTACAGAGAAGGTAATTCTCCCAAGAAGATAAGCAAGTTACAATCTCATAGAAGGATAAGCAGGAAAGCATGGGGCTGTCCAGAAAAGAAGTCAAACTAACCATCACGAGTGAAATTCCACAAGGGGCAGTTGAAATTGGGAAAGAGATTAAGTTCTTTTTCAAAAAGACAGGGAAGTGATTGCCTATTTGAGAGCCTATTTGCCAAAACTGATGAAATCATATTTTCTTTCTTTCCATTAAAAAAGGGAAAAGGGGGGGATATCCTTTTGCCGCCCAAATATTGAACAAAAATCACCCTACTCCAGAAAAACATTTTTACTATAAATAAATAAGAAGGAGTGAACAGGAGGGACACAACAAAAATTCATCATCCAATCAAACAAAATCCTACGCAAGGAAACCATCAGCCAAATAGACAACTCAAAATCAACCAACAAGTCCACTTGAATTTCAAGTAACTTGAATTTCAAGTAAAACCAGCTTCAAATCAGAATTCCCAAGGCTCAGACTTAATAAATAAGTCATTCAGAACGAGATTTTTCTCGTTACAAATTTGGTTTAGCAGAAACCAAGATAGGTAGAGCTTGAGTTCTCTCCAAAAATGGAAAACCTCAACAAATTTCACAGTGCAGTCTCTAGCTCACCGACGTCCTCAAGAACAGCCACTTCTGCCCTTTCAGACTGAAGAAGCCGCAGTTCTGCCCACTCAGAAGCTTCACAAAAGCTTAAGGTACATTAAAGCTCTGCCAGAATCAACCTTTGGTATCGATTTGTAGTTGAAAACCGGGCAGTCAGAATTGTCAACGGTCCAGTCCAGCCCATAACAGAGCCTCCCATCCATGCATAAATGGAGATCCAGCTATCTTTTTATCTTTTTAGCATTGACATTTATTTTTATAGTTTTGTAAAAGGCAGTTCCGCCTAAAAACAGTTTAAATTCTATCAACCATTCTGGCCAGAACAACCTCTTTATACTGAGATAAATTGTTAAAGTCCTCACCAGTCTGAGGCAAGAAAAGAACTTACTTGAGAGATATTCCTCACCCAAATTCACAATCGTTTGTTTGCAGAAATCAGTAACTTGGGGCGCAAGTTATCCATTCAAGACTAAGTTTGCTAGAATTTTTATTACTAGCAGTGGCACGCTCACACACCAAAGAAAGCTGACTTGTTGACCAGTCTATGGTTCTCAAGGCAGTGGGGAACTTTGCCCTTCCATCATAGGAGTAACCAAAACGGGTGAACAGATGTAAAAGTGACTTTACACCCTCGAATTTACACCCTCCATTGTGGATGCTCTTATGTTGGATGTTTTTGCATAAAAATCAAGTTCAATTGGCAATTGGTGAAGAGATACGAGTCCTTTTGAGAATTAATTACTTACTGCTTATAATCAATTCAAAACTGCACAGCCTCAAGATTTTGCTAGTTTGTAGCTCATATAGTTAAAAGCAGTTATCCGTGTATTCAAATTCTTGTTAGAGTCCTCCTCCCTTAAGATTGTTTTTAATTAAAAAAAAAATAAGTAGCCTCAAAATTTCTGTATAACCCTCCCCAAAATATTGATGAATTTTTTCTTTTCTAAATTCTAACAATCAAATATGTTATGTTGTTACAATTTTTTTTTCTTTTCAAATTATGTTGTTGCACTTTTTCTTTCGAATTATGCTACATTGTTATGTCAAGATTGTAAATACTATTTATTAATAATCCCTGAGCAAAGCTGCAATGGAGATGGAGATGGAAATGAGAGCTGAGGAAGACATAGAGATAGGAGAAGACATAACCCCACCACTCACTCCCCTCGCCTTCGCTCTCCACGACTCCCTTCTCTCCTCTCACTGCTCTTCCTGCTTCTCTCTCCTCCCTCCCCACCCTTTCCCTCCTCTCCACTTTAACCCTACCTTTCCTCATAATCCCCACCATGTCCTCTCCTCCTCCTCCTCCTTCTACTGCTCCCCTCTGTGCTCCACTTCTGATTCTCCCCTCCACGTGTCCAGCGCCGAGCCCCACCTCCTCCACCTCCTCCAATCCCACCCCTCCACGTACCCCCATGGCGACTCCTCCGACCTCCGCGCCGCCCTCCGCCTCCTCCACTCCCTTCCCGCCACGCGTCCTTCCGCGCGCATCGCCGGCCTCTTAACCAATCACCACAAGCTCCTCCACCACCACGACCACCACAGAATTCGCGACGGCGCCAGGGCTATGTTCCTTGCCAGCAAGATGCGCGATGAAGCTCCAAACGTCTGTTCCGATAATTCTTCTTCAGTTTCTCCAGACGACGCCGTCTTGGAGGAGGCTGCACTGTGCCTGGTGCTAACCAACGCTGTGGAGGTGCAGGATAAGACCGGGCGCACCCTTGGAATTTCCGTCTACGGTCCCAGCTTCTGCTGGATCAACCACAGCTGCTCTCCCAATGCTTGCTACCGGTTTTTGGTGTCGCCCCCGCCACCAACTTGCTCAGCTGAAAAGACGCCTCTCCGCATTGCCCCCTTCGGCCAAGGAACACAAGTAATCCTTGAAATTTTTACTATTTCCATTTTTTCTTTTTAATTTAGTATTTTCAGCTATAAAATTCAGAGCTGTGAGATTGATATTTGTTGCAGATTGAGAGTGGTGTTTGTAGCAATAATGTATTTATAAAAGGTGTTGTGGTCCTTATTGCTTTCTTGTCACTTCTAATTTCTTTTGTTTGTTTGAATTAGAGTTTGAGATTTCCCTGTATTGTTGAACTTTAGCCAATATGAATGCAGAATGCGGTAGTTATGGTCCAAGAGTGATAGTTAGGAGCATCAAGAGAATCAAGAAAGGAGAGGAAGTTACAGTTACCTACGCTGACTTGTTGCAGCCAAAGGTATCTTTAATTTCTCCACAAACTGGCTTATAGCTAGACAATCCAGCTTCTTTCTGCTATACGGGGGGGGGCTTACCCAAATCCTTGGCGATTTGATTTATCATTTACTTATTTCCCTAAAAAGAATTATTTCATTTATGTTCTATGTTAAGAAGTTCTTTCTTTGTGATCGTATATTTTGTCATGATTACCCCCCAGGCAATGAGGCAGTCAGAGTTATGGTCAAGGTATCGGTTTATCTGCTCTTGTACGAGATGTAGTGCGTCACCCCTAACTTATGTGGATCAGGTTTTGGAGGTGGGAATTCATGAAAACTTATTGTTTCTTAGTATGAACTTTCAGAAATCGCTGGGTTCAAGCTGATATCCAAAAAAATTATGATTGCAACATGGTGACAAACTTCTCTATTATTGTTGTTGTGTGCATCCATTTATTACCTATTTGTATCATTCCCTCTGACCTCATGGATCCATATAGTCCTGATAATTTCAGCCATGCCTACTTTTCTTCTCAATAACCACAGTGAGGTAAAGTAACTTGGAGGGTTTCTCATTTTATCCCTCCCTACTGTTTGAACCTTCAACTCCACCTTCTTGCAACTGCATGCCTAAAATCTAGTAGTTCTTTGGTTCTATACTTTTTATGAACATGGCCAAATGTCTGACTTATGCCTACCCTCATGCCTGAGTTCCAGATTTGTGGCGCTGAAGAATGAAGATGGATGTTGATCTAAATGTTATTTTGATACTATCGCTGGTTCTACAATTATATTCAAATTATTAATTAAATACTAATTCTTAAGTATGTTTGGAGTTATTCCCTAATATCCTTATAATAATGGTTTTACAGAAATTTCCAGATCCCACTAGTATTGGTACATATAACTTTTGTGTTTTTTTCTCCCCTTATTTATATATGGTTTGCCGGTAGCTTTGAACAAAAGTACCTTTTCAACTTGAACACGAAGTACCATCCTAACTTTTTTTCTTCCATTCTACCTGGAGATAACTGAATGTTCTGGTGGAGTATCTTGGACAACTATTAACCTTTGGCTCAATACTCCAGGAAATATCTGCAGCCAATTTCAACTCTTCCAGTTTGAGTTCAGATATAAACTTCGATAGAGATAAGGCAACACAAAGGTTGACCGATTACATTGATGATGCTATAGATGACTACCTGTCAATTGGTGATCCTGAATCTTCTTCTGTGAGGCTTGAGCATGTGCTTACCCAAGGTCTTTCAGATAAGCAGTCAGAGTGCAAGGAAGAAACATCTCAGCTGACTTACTGGTTGCACCCCTTGCACCACCTCTCTCTAAATGCCTACACAACATTGGCTTCAGCGTATAAAATCCGTGCTACTGACTTATCTGCTTTATATTCCAAAATGGATGATCATCTACTGAATGCTTTAGACTTAAGCAGGACCAGCACAGCATACTCCTTGTTACTTGCAGGTGCAACTCACCATCTGTTTCGCTCTGAATCTTCTCTAATCGTATCTGTTGCGAATTTCTGGTCGAGTGCAGGAGAGTCCTTGCTAACTCTTGCTAGAAACTCAGTCTGGAGTCAGTTTGTCCAACGGGATCTACCTGTGTCAAACCCAAGTTCTACTGGAAAGTATAGATGTCCAAACTGCTCATTGGCAGATAAATTTGAAACCGACTCATTTCATGGTCAAGTTCGATATGCAGATTTTGACTATGTATCAAATGAGTTCGTCGATTGCGTCACTAATTTTACACAGAATGTTTGGAACTTTTTGGGTCTCGGTTGCCAGTATCTGAGAGTGGTTAAGAATCCTATAGATTTCAGCTGGCTTGGTACGATAAGATATTCCAGTGTAGGGGAAGATATTGTTCGATCTAGTGGCACTGAAGTGGCTTCTAAGTGTGGGGCTGGCAGAAGAATATCTGGAAGTGAAGCAGAGGGATACAACAACCAGGTAAGGATGTGTCTTTTTAAGCTTGGTGTCCATTGCTTACTTTATGGAGGATATCTAGCGAGCATATGTTATGGTAATTCCCATTTGACTCGTAATGTTGATAAAATTTTAGATTTGGAAGAAAGCATTGAATCCTTGTCATGAACCAGATTGAGTTTTAGAACTTGCAAGTTAAATTTATACTTGATTTATTGTTAATTGTTGTATTTAGTTGAAAGTTATATGCCCATTGAAGTTTTCTGTATCAATTATCAATGTCAGTTTGCTTGAAAATTAAAATTTATATTTTGACCGCGTTTATATTTTGCCCTCAAAACCGGCTTGTAAAGGAAGGGTGCTCAAGAGCTCTTAAGCCATTCTAGGATATGCTGTTTTGTTAATGTGGGATCTTCCGTCCTAACAGTATTTAGGGATGAGATTTGATTTCATTTGGTAGAGGAGATCAAACCTCACCAATCTACTTTCGGAAAAATCACATAAAGAAAATTATATGAAAGTCAAAGGTATACTAGCGTGTGGTATCTATCACAAAAACTCTTTCACAGTGGTCATGTTAAATAAGGATTGAGCTTCGATTCTTTGGAAAACTTGCAAGAGAAGAGGCAATAAGTTAGGTGTTTGAATATTACGTGTACCTTTGAATTATGTTGGGTGGATATATTAGGCTTGTAACCTAAAACTAATTAGTACCAGTGAACAAGGCCAAGTCATGCTTCCTTCCTTGGTCATTGAAGAGAAAACCACGGTATTTAAAAACAACATGAGTAAATACATAGCTTTTCCTTTTCTTTTATTTTAAATTTTTTTTATATAAGCGATATTTAACTTTAAACTATAGGGAGATGGATTCAAACTCGGGTGTAAAATGGGAGCACATCTGTCCTAGCCAACTTGGCTAAGCTCATGCTTGCTTTCTTTTAATTTTTGGGTTGCATTATATTATATATGTCGCTCTCAAATAAACAAGTATAATATAACCAATATCTGTGAGCATGTATTACACTTTTGCCTGAATTATTAATCAGACAGAAAAAAGAATAAACTCATTAGTGTCAGCCGCTGCCCTGGGACCAAATGAGCACCTCTGGGACGTAGTGGCATCACCGTCACCAGAGGTGGTGGTGCTGCCTCCAAAATGTTGGTTGTGCTGGTGATGGTGGCGGTCTTCATGTTTAGCTAGGGGAGGATGGTAGTACAACCGGCTGGTTTGGGGGCAATGAGAATAAGACCTGGAAACTATTCTCGCTCCTTGATCCAAAATCTCCACAAACTTCATCCCCATTTTGCTCTCTTATTAATCTCTGTAATCTTTGTATGTATCTGAGTCTCTCTCCCACTCTTGAGAAAAGAAAGGCTGAGAAAGTGAAAGAAAATGAAGGAAAAAGGGACGAGATTTGAAATTAGTTGGGAGAGAGACTCATTGAGAGATTTGTGGTGTTCTCTGACGGTAGAGGCGGATGTAGGCTTGTTTATATAGCTGCCTTCCCTTCATATTTTGCCTAATATTTTTTTTTAGGTGCTTCGTTGGTCCTTCACATTTTTCCTGTAAATTCCTTTTCTGGCAATGTATTTGCATATCGATCCCTTCATTTCTAGTATATTTGACTTTAGTTATCCATTTATACGACATTTCTCACACTTTTTTTAATTGCTTATAACCCTAGGTTTGTACAAGCACGTAAAGCACTCGTACTTATATGATTTGTGTAGTTTGAGTGTGATTGCACGTATTTTAGGATTTATTTTTCTATATGTCGGTAATAAAATCTTGACGTTTGAATAATTTGTTATAATGGAATGACCAAGAAATTCCTTGTTCTTCATAGTTGAGTTCTTGTAAAATGTAAAACAAGATTATGAAATATTGTTGAATGCGTTTTGTAATATTTTAGTAACAAAAAAGGAAAAGGACAAATATGCAATTAAAAGAGTTGCAAGGTTAGATAAACATATAGATACGCGGAAATACAGGGGCTTAAGAATAATTAAAATTACCGATTTTACCGGGACCAAGACGCGTCAGAGCTAAGGACTCGGATTCTAAATAAATTTGCACACAAAATGGTCGCCTGAGTTGTGCTTACAAGCACCGACTCTATTATTGGTAATTTTACAACAGAGCGAATAAATCCAAAAAGAAATTATTTTTATTTTTATAGTAAGTCTATATTATTATAAGGATTTTTATTTATTTATTTACTTTCTTTTGTATCTCCGTTTGAGTGTATGCATTCTAAAGTTTCAAAATTGAAATTCTTGGTGGGACTTGTACTTCTAATATAGCTAAATAAAATTTAGTTCAAATTCAAATTTGAATCTCTCATCCTCTTAAACCATAAATCTTAGTTATTAGGGGTGTTAGTTAGATTCACTCAGGCCTTTGGTGTACTCCTAAGTGGTCATGAGTTCAAACTCTCACGGTACTCGTGTGTGAGTTTTTCCCTCTCTCCATTCCTAACTTTAGTAACAAAAACAAAAACAAAAACAAAAAAATCATAAATCAATATTCTTGTTGAGACCTAAAAATCAGATGCTCAAATCACATTAAAGTGAAACCGAATTAAACTTGACTTGCCTTAGAAGGAATTATGAAAAAAAATGTAAGTAGTGCCTTCACTCTAGGTTTCAATTCCTTCATCTCTCGCTATCTTTTGGATTAAACATATCAATTTTCATTAACAAAAAACTTGTAGTTTAAGTGGTTTACATCAATTAGTATATATGAGATCCTGTATTTTAATTCCTCATTCTCAAATAGTAACTTGTATTTAAAAAGCCTCCACTGGTTGTTTTGTTAGCTCCCAAAAGTCTTGAAGAAATTTCATTCCCTCAACTGAAATTAGAAAGACAAAAAATGCAAGGATGTTTTCGTCGCCAAGACTCACATCGTTGATGTTGGTTGTGCAAATAATCTCGCGGGAGAATATTTGCTTCTAGATCCTTCAACCTTCGATCTTCCCTTTCTCTCTTTCTCGATTCATGTAAAAAAAAAACCATGAGTAAATAGACCACACCCGGGGGGGTGTTGCCTGATAGGATTTTTAGTACCTGCGCAAACAGGGTTAAAAT